AGGTCAGAGGGGAACATTGGTTCAAAGCATGAGACCTCTTAACTGTGATATATGTGTGTTATTTGTCTATGATAATAAGAAAGTATAGACCAGAACTAAGTAGGAGGACGATGTTGATGATATATGGTCTCTGAAGGATGGAACCACTCCTCGTTCCACATAGAACATGTTTAAATAGTTGTCTAGTAGATTTGAAAAATGTTATTCTCGTGCTTTCCAACATTGCATGGACACTTGATTCACCTGATTTAAAACCTTAAGACTAAAATCTGTTGGACCGTGTAAAGGATCGTGCTCAATCACCATCCAACAGTGACTTCAAAAAAGCACCAAAGATTGGAAACTTCAAACATTTGTGACCAAGAACATCAGAGACAGCTTAAACGTAGTGATAGAGTAAAAGATTGACATTTCGAACATATAATAAAATGTTGGTATATCGTTAAACTACCAAAGAATAAAAAAATTAATAAATGTATTAAGTTGCAAACTGGAGACGTGTTTGGAAACACCCTGAATAGTATTTGAAAAGGGAGAATGATGCAGCATTCCAGATAAATGTATCTATATTTGTAGACATATTTCTTTTAAGCCGTTTCTCCTAGTTATGATACTGCTTCGTTGCGCTGTACATGGAAAGGGTTCGAAACTACAGTGGGCTGGCTCATCTAACAGTCTTTTTATTTGCCCTCCATTTATCCATATCGGTACTAATTTGATTTTGTTAACGATTAACACACATCGATACTGTTTTAATTTAACTGTTATTTAATTGTCAACTTATACCAATACTGCCTTAGTAAAAACAAACACATAAAGATACAATACATCAATAATAGTTTCATTTTATTTCCTTTGTATGCTGCCAACATAAGACCGCCAACAATTTGCGACAAATATTGTTTGTCAGGCCTCAATAAAGAAATGACATTTATAGATTTGTTCGTCATGAAAAACTTCTTTATTTAGATGTTTGTGTTTCTTCCATAGGTCACAACACTTTGTGATACTACGATGTATGAATAACTGGTTTGTATTTGCAATGTGTATTATGTATGCATCACCTACTGCCTATGTGAAAACATAACAAATGGTGTTTAATAAGGAAATAGTTTTTTAATTGAACATGCCTGCTTATATCAATGTTTCTAAATTGGTATGTTCTTTTACAGAATAAATATAATATGCATTTGTACTTGTGCCATCCACAAACAATGGAAGCTTTAATAGATGGTCAAGGATACATTTATGAATATTTAACAGAGGCAAATAAACATGTATTTTTTTTATTACGTAGACAACTGATTTTACACAATTATATCTGTGTTGAAGATGACGTGTGACTTTTTAAATGTGGTGTTTATATATTCTATAAATGAATGAGGACAGGGTATAATAACAATGACTGATACACTTTAGATATTGATTTATGACCTGTATGAAAAGAGAGGTATTTAATGTAGCACTACTTGAATGTGATGATCGAAATGTCAAAATTGACAGCATCGACCGAGGATTTTCTATGCGTAGGACACAATTAAGACATCAAGTGGGCACGGCTCATTTGACTATATGATACTCGATACCGGATTGACTCTATATATTAATATAGCCCGTGAGTGATGGGTTAACAACATTGTGGTAGACATTATGTTGTCGTACTAATAGTATGACATTCAACAGGGGTTGGTAGGAACGGGATCGTCTTATACGTCATAAACTTCTACGCAAGGCCTATATCACGGGAAACCTTGATGTTAGCAAACGGATGGCCATGGGGTTCAATCTACGTCATATCTGACAATGAGGAAATATACGTCCTTAGGAATTTTAGGTTATACCCGTTGTCGTCAAAAATTTTGTATCAAAATCGTTACTTAATATCGTAATGTATTCAAAGACCAAAAATTACTTAGGAAGACAATGTATCGGTCGCGTCTTGTCCGCACCTTGAACTCACTTCCCAATAATAACCAGCGACTCTAATCACTACACCAACGCCACTCCCCCAAATCAAAGCTTGCGCGTGGCAATGTTAGCATACCTTTACCCTCCTCGTGATCATCGTGACAAATTACACCTATTGATGATATCAGTACCCGTCATTAATAATTATGTATGTTTAATCGTACGTATTGACTGTGTTCTGGCAGTGATAGCATGCACGCATATCGAGTTATTGTGTATCGAGTGTTTTCTTATTTTTGAAATTAATACACCGGACTACTTACGATCAGAGATGTATACTGGTTACCATCACTTCCACAGCTATTTCCATTTACCACCAGATTTTCTTCTGATGTCAAGCACTCAACAACTTATCACTACCAGATATTACATCGTTACTGCAATTACATACATCACCACGAAATGCTTGTAACGTGAGGTATCATACTTTCTTTCGAATTTTAACTTTTAAAGTTTCATCCATGTTTATTTGCTTTGATAAAGGGGCGGTTTCCTCTTAAAAAGTTCCTTTCATTACCCTCGCCGTCGTCTATACTTCGCTGATATCGGTTGACGTAATACGCATCTGATGCCGAATGTTGTTCCTATATTGGATCATACTTTCTGTATTACCTATTATACCTATTTTCATATAATTCAGGCTCTAACTTAACCTGTTTACATTACTACATAAAGCATTGTATAATGGTCCTTAGGGGGACCTAAGGGCAATAACAGGTAAAACACATTAGAACATCATTATAACGAAAATAATAACTTCAAAATATTGATATGACCGAACATAGCAATTGTAAGAGTAAAAATTAACAATTAATAACACTTCAATACTTTTATAACTATAAATACAGTTTACGACACGAACAAGTTGAGTTTCGCGCTAAAAGTCACCACGGTGTTTTGAGGACACGGCCTCACGGGAAAAAAGTAACTGTGGGAAACGGCGTCAGGGAGGAATAAAAGAAACTTGGAATCGAAGTCTCGGAGGAATAAAGCCCAGTGTTAATAAAAGTCGCCCGGAGACAAAGGGCAAAATGGTGAACATACGATACTTTACAAAATAGCACCCATGACGTTATTCAATCATGTTACTAGAAATTAGGATAATAGATACGTAATATAGATAGGAGAAGTCATAATTAGGATGAAACCAGGACAATCACCCTTATAACTCGATCACGCTGAAACTGCTGGATACAATTTACTCATTGCGTGTTGTAAAGGAAATGTTACCGAACTACTATTGTAAGGACAGATAATTCTACAATTTACCATTATATGTTCTGATACGATAAATGTAATCGACAATTTTCTCTAACTCCCCAATAGATCCATTGAAAATTAATTACATACATTTTGATCGCTGCTAGTCACAAAGCAATATTATATCATCGCTAGGAGTAACCTTATCCATCTATAAGGTTATATAGGAGCTTTTGATCCAAATTAAACACGTTCAGAAGACGTTTAATCGATTTCCTGTAAAAAAAAAACTTCTCATCATGTTGTCACATCACATATAAGAAGGTATGCAATGTTGGTTGAAATTATGTTTATATGTATCTGTAATATCCTTTGAAAATCGAGAATACGTGATGCATTATTGTTGATTGGAATGATGAGAAAATAGAAAATACCTTAAAGATTTCCCAGATGTCGTTTTTCCATTCAATATAAACTTACATTTTCAAAATCAACTTATAATATACTGTTGAATGAATACACATTATTTAAATTGGCCCCAAAGTTAATGTCATATGAAGACACTATTTCAGCACATGATATACGGTGTTCTTCACATATAGTACCCTTATCAACACCTAGTATAATGTCACGTGCACAATACTCACTATTCTAATCAACATGCACAATCATGTTATATGAATGCATAATGCTTTTTCACACAGAATTATGTCACATTATTTTAACATGTCATTTCTGATTTGTTTAACAGTAGTGTTAATATGTTATTTTCTGTATGGAGTAAAAATGGCAATGAATATATAGTACACGTAGTCAGAAATAACTTGTGCTTATTTGTAAGCATTTGATCCGGATAGCTCCATATATGTGTATGCATATTCGTCAGGAGAATACACTGGATGTCGAAAGAAACATTGTGTGAAAGTTTAAATTGATATAACAATCCTCGTAAAAGTTTCAAAACATCGCTTATATTTGGGTAGAAATAAAAGATGACCTTATTAAACTGTTGATGATAATTGTGCGTGTCCTACACCTCTAACCTCCATGTTACCACAAGAACGCTTCTAGTTCTACAATACTTCATTAATTGAACATCGTGTCATCGACGCGTTGAATAGACTGTGGCAAAACGTATTACATTGTACATGCTTACACTAATTGAAATCCGTGCAAACCAATTGATCTTGTTCCAGTTGACAATAGTAGATGCTGTGATACATTTGACTGTATCGACTTAATCTACATGTAACAGGTAGTCAAAGCAGAAATAATCTAATCTGAACAATACGAATGCTGGATGGAATTTCATGTTTAGGTGTTGCTTTACAGTCACTGGCAGGACAGTCAAAGCCTTCTGTGACAGAGTCGAAGGTGGTAAATATTGATTTGATAAATCTGTCTAGGAAACAATATCGCAATATTGGTCGGCAACTAGTGACAATAGCGCGTAAAGAGCATCATGGCATAATAATATACTGTAATTAAAAATATTTAGAATTACAATTTGTATGTTTGCGATAGATTTAAGCCATTTTTTTGTAATTAGGGTGGTTGGTATATGCTCAATATTGAAACAGCAAAAAAATATATTCTGAATTAATTATTTTTTATTTCAAAAGTTACAACTGATAACAGATAAGCTCCTGGCCAACATAATTACGCCATGGATAAACTAATTGAGGAATATATCCAAAATGTTCTTACATACAGATTATTGATCACCTTTCATAAGAAAAGTCCTTAATAAAGACATAAACATTTGTAGTTTAGCAAAATACTGGAGATCTGATTCTTATGATTTCAAACACAGCACTGTGTCTTCTTTGCAGCTCAAGCCTTTTGACAACCACTACCTCTTAACACACTCGGAAGTTCCCAGTCGTTCAAAACGTAGTGCTGACCATCATACAAGGCGCCTCCAAACGGACAACCGCGTGAGTATATCTTAGAGCAGCAATCTTACCCAAACACAACCAAAACATTTAAAAACGTTTGAAAAAAATAGATAATATCTACCATGCTGTGGTTCGCGAAATAAAACACCAAAAAAACAATAAGTGCTGTTAGGTCAACTTTAGAGTATCTGAGATCGAGATGGAGGAGTTTTTTATTATCATATTTATGCATTTAGAAGTCATGATCAGGCATTTACTAACATTATTATGTCAGGTCGACCCGACAATGTGTCTTCATTAAGAGACAGAATACTACAATTGTTTATGTATAAATGTCCATTTGAGTGTATTTATTGTCTCGCATTCTGGTCAAGCATCTCGCAATCGATATTAACATAGTCTACCTAGTTAGGACGGAATAATTCCCGCTTTTTTCACGACCGTACGTCAGTCATTTGACTGAGTATGACGTGGAGCTACCGGATCTCGCCCTTCCAGTGTCTGAATACAAACGATGTTAGGATTATGTATTATTGCGATACAGCAGTCCTTTATCCGAAACTACGGAAATGAAATGCAAAGTAATATTGAATTGAACAGCGACTATTCGAAGTCTGTCACGTGTGCTTATCTCACTTCCGGTGACGGGATTAACGCCGTTCCTGGCATTAATGAAAAGCCTCGTGGAATTAGGTTTAGAGGGAATAGAAATCACCTCATTGTCTCATTACATCCGACGTGACGCCTGAATCACGTGATCTAAACACTGTCAATCATCATGTATTACCTTGAATTATTCATAGCACCATTTGTCTTGTAACAATGTTTAAAACTTTACCATTCGACGCGCAGCACGACAATGGCGAAGGCCAGTCGTACGTGCATCACATTGATTAGACGTTTGCCTGGTAGGATTATATTAATATGGTATTCCAATGTTTAAATCTGCTTAGAATGGATGCTACGATTTGAGCAACACTGATGATATTGGTATCTACATGTAATACCTGACAAAAGGTACACAGTGTGTTTACTGTCTGTATGCTCATCAGATACTACAATACAAGAGTTGTGCAAATCTGATGGTTTATTGTTAATTTTTTTGTGTTCTTTTAATTTTGTTACTTATTTTTTCGTTTTTTTATTGACGTCATTATGTGGTTGTGATGACTACTATTCGAAATGCATGTGTGCGAAGTAGGCCATTTGTTTGATTGAATCGACTACTCGCTAAATAGTGGAGCAATCTCATGCAAACTTAGGAAACATCCTCGTTTTATCAAGTTTCATTTAATATATCATTTTTTCTACATTGGCATGTTGTTTTAAAACATTACGGTGATTCATAATCGATAAAACTTAGGCGGTAGCTTTTCCTGTGGAAATGAAATTGTGTTTTATATTAAATTCCGTAACGTATATTCTATTTTAAAAACAATCGTTATGTGTATTAGGTTTTTTTTCTTTGTTTTCATCCTGTTCAATGAATCAAAGCCGGATGTGAAATTTATTATTTTCTAGGTACACTGGGCAGAGCAACAGGTTACAAAAACGAGAACCAAGCGAGACCTCTTTGAAAAACGAGTCGATGAGGAGAGATCGTATATCCGCCTTGATTTCAACGATCCTCTATGGCCGAAGCAGTGGTATATGGTACGTAGGACATTCAATGGGTCACTGTATATTGTACTTGGTGAAACACGATTAAAATATTGTTTACGTAAAACTTGAAAAAAATAATCACCACACACGCACCTGCCCGTACATACAATTTTAACACTACTGATAATGTACGGTCCTGAAACAGTGACAAAATAAAGGTAAAAACTATAAAGAAAAATAGCAACCACACAAAGAACAGTAGCATGACAATCATATTAAAAAATGGTATATTTGTAGTAAGTACCAAGTATGTCTTGAAGAACTGTTATTCATTTTATAATTCTTATGTTTTATAAAACATTTAGACATTATATATTTGGCTTGGATTATTAAAACATATAAAAGAATGAACGTATTATATCCATATTAAATAATACATTAGGCATAAATACTCGATGTACCACTAAGGAAAAACAGAAGACCCCCTATCACAGAACATTATAAACGGCTGCACACAAATATAGAAAAATATAACTATTAGATATTATTCGTCGTCTTAAATCGGTATCTTAATATGTTTCAGTATTCTGCATTTACGCGTGCCGAAAAGTGTTTTTACAGCATATTTGGTTTTATTGGTATATTACCACATATTTTGCTAACAGAAAGATGGTGAAGTCCATGACCCTACGGAACTAAGGTATGATCTACACATCATTCCGGTCTGGAACAAGGGTATCACAGGGAAGGGAGTTGTCATCAGCGTGTTGGACGATGGTACGTCTTAAACATTGTAACGTAGAGGTACAATGTATACGTATTGCGAGTGTCATACAGCGAATAATGTTGTGCATACTTCATTTCACAAATATATCAATAGATATTCCGCGAATGATGGATTGGAAGTATTTTAAATTTTGCGACCGGTTCTCGCGCTACTTGCAAGGAAAACAACAGTGATTTATACTTTTTAAGTTGATAAAACTCGTTTCAAAGTTTTCGTAAAATATATCAAGTGTATATAACACGTTTATTTCCTAACTTATTTGAGCCTTAAATCAGCAATAATATAATATTGATATCGTGAAATAGCTGTTACTGTAGTAATTTAAGAATTAGGCTGCAGACAACAAGTAGTTTAAAACACAGTTAGGAAACGAAAACGAGATTGTAAAATAAGTTAACACGGAATACAATAGTTACTGGTATATTTGTTGTTTTAGGTATTGAACACAACCATCCAGATTTAGCACAGAATTATGTAAGTACGCCTTGGTTAGCCAGATTGAGTATATAGTTTGTGTTTATACATTAGATTCATTCAGAGTGGGCGAAATCGTCAAAACGCGCTTCAGAATTTTACGTGCAAGAGATCTGTAATTCTGATCATAATGCTAGACTATTACATATATAAGTAGATTAATGTGTATTGATGAACGAAAGACAACATAATCGTTATTGCACGGTATACAGATATTTCAACATAAGCCATATATATATACAAATACGTATTAGAGAGGCCGTAATCTGTGTTTATGTGTGGCAATTAGTAAGATGTTCATTAAGAGAGATGTACATGTAACTAAAGAGATTATAGAAATAAGAGTTAGTGAACTTTCTCTAGCCTTAATTCTAATAGCATGACATGTCTAGGAGGTGATTATTGTCACAATGATACTCTTAATAGTACAGTAATTATACATTGGTTACAAATACACTGCTATTGCCACAGGACCCCCGGGCAAGTACGGATTTGAACGGCAATGACGATGACCCCCAGCCAAGATACGATCCAACTAACGAAAATAAGTATGTAGAAATATTTGATGCATACGTATGTGATACCTAAATAAGAACAACGTGTAAACCTTTTACTCCTCCATATGGTCACTTCGTCCATCAGTGGTATTACAGTAAAAAACTGAAAAATCCAAATCCAAAGTATTACGTTCCATATGTACAATTCAGGTAAGTGGACAGCTAGGCGCCTAAACAACTCTTTGTTACAAAATTGTAACTGTTGGTTACCAAATATTATTTTTATTACAGTATATGCTGCAGCAAATTTTAACAATATTTTTCTATTGAAAAAAAAACATAACTAAATAAGTAAATAAGTAAAAGAAATAATGAAATTGATTTTAAAAAAATCAACTACCTAAATCTTTTGGTTTTTAAAGAAAATGAATTTAAATTTAAATTTGTATACCAGTACTTAGCAGAGTCGATGAAGGGCACCATGCTATATGCTTTTAGTTAAATGCAGTCAGAACACAATTATGACAATTACTTTATTGTAATTATAATAATAACTTGGCTTCATTTGTCTTCCAAAAGTAGTATCTCATTATATACATACAATATAATTGTTTGTGTTAGAACAATGTTTTATTAAAAATTTCAACGATGCAGATTATAAGCTGAGTGTTATTATGACATGATATTGTGTCTACACCAATACTGATATGACATTGATATTGTGTGTATACCAATACTGATATGACATTGCTATTGTGTGTATACCAATACTGATATGTCATTGATATTGTATGTATATAAATACTTATATGACATTGATATTGTGTGTATACCAATACTGATATGACATTGCTATTGTGTGTATACCAATACAGATATGACATTTATATTGTGTGTATACCAATACAGATATGCCATTGATATTGTGTGTATACCAATACTAATATGACATTGATATTGTGTGTATATCAATACTGATATGACATTGATAGTGTGTGTATACCAATACAGATATGACATTTATATTGTGTGTATACCAATACAGATATGCCATTGATATTGTGTGTATACCAATATTGATGCCGATCCTACCCTAGTTATTATGACATGGATATTGTGTGTACACCAATACTGATATGACATTAATATTGTGTGTATATCAATACTGATATTACATTGATAGTGTGTGTGTACTAATACTGATATGACATTTGTATTGTGTGTATAGCAATACAGATATGACATTGATATTGCGTGTATACCAATACTGATATGTCATTGATATTGTATGTATATAAATACTTATATGCCATTGATATTGTGTGTCTACCAATACTGATATGACATTGATACTGTGTATATACTAATACTGATGCCGATCCTGCCCTAGTTATTATGACATTGATATTGTGTGTACACCAATACTGATATGACATTGATATTGTGTGTATATCAATACTGATATGACATTGATAGTGTGTGTGTACTAATACTGATATGACATTGGTATTGTGTGTATAGCAATACAGATATGACATTGATATTGTGTGTATACCAATACTGATGCCGATCCTACCCTAGTTATTATGACATTGATATTGTGTGTACACCAATACTGATATGACATTGATATTGTGTGTATATCAATAGTGATATGACATTGATATTGTGTGCGTACTAATACTGATATGACATTGATATTGAGTGTATACCAATACTGATGCCGATCCTGCACTAGTTAGGTGACAGGTTCTCAGTGTTATTATCACATTGATATTGTGTGTATACCAATACTAATATGACATTGATATTGTGTGTATTACAATACTGATATGACATTGATATTGTGTGTCTTACAATACTGATATGACATTGATATTGAGTGTATACCAATACTGATATGACATTGATATTGTGTGTATACCAATACTGATGCCGATCCTACACTAGTTAGGTGACAGGTTCTCAGTGTTATTATCACATTGATATTGTGTGTATACCAATACTGATGACGATCCTACCCTAGTTATGTGACAAGTTTATGTGACGCCTTTATGTGTTACAGACATGGCACCCGATGTGCCGGAGAGATTGCCATGGTGGCCAACAATAGCTTGTGTGGTGTCGGCGTGGCCTACAACGCCAGGATAGGAGGTATGACGTCAGCATTGACAAAACTAGAACAGTCCCAAATACTGATAAGACGTTCTAGAGGTGAAAGCTGATTTCAACACAAGACAACTGTTAATAATTTATGTTCACCATTGCATGACAATACCAAAATACAACGCTACCAAGCCATGTAAACGTTACGGCCCGATTATTGACGTCATAATTATTTTTTACAGATATTAGCAGATCTACGTATACTGATGAACTAAAAACAATGTAATATGTACTTTACGGTACAGAGATATCTTTCAATAAGTTGAAATATAAACATTCACTGATTACAGAGGCCCTAATCTGCGTTTATGTCTGATCATAATTACTCTGTACAGCCAGGTATATATAACTCAACAGATTATGAAATGTAATCATGTCGTCATAATGGGACCGTTGTTAGGTACTAATTCCTGGACTCCTGACTCTTTTATTTATTAAACTAGTATACCCAATACAAACAATAATATTATTGAGATCCGAATCATAACACATGTATGTATTCTAAATACGGTAAACGTATATATGTAACTGATTCCGCTAGCTGTCATAGTCAATATGGGTTCAACATGGAAACTTATTTCAATGAAAAGCAGGTCAGTTCCTAAATGCAGTTCATACAAAATACCTAAATAGAATGTTTATAATAAGTGTGAGCTTTTCATTTCTTAAGAGTAATACATATCTATGTCATCACGAATGTGTCGTTTATCACTTCAGCTTTCTGCATAACGTATTGTCTTTTTAACATTTATTATTTTCCTAGATGTTTCTTCGTTCATTGCAGCCATATACTTCCCGTCATATAAATACGCATTATTTCAATGGTAAAGCGTACTTCAAAGTATACAAAAACGTGAATGTACAAGACTTTCTTTCATCCTTTCAATTACTTGTATGTATAACCATAACAAAGTAAAATCAACACATTTTGAAGTGTTTATTTCGGAGAGATTAATCTTGATACTCTACCGTAGGAAATCACAGCCCGCTTCCCCCGTCAGCAATAAATGGATATGCCTACATGCATTTAACCCTTCCTACAAACCGACATGTTGTCAGATTCCCTGCATATGAATGATCCTCAGATCATTGAAAACCTTATCTCCCAAGAGGAAGTTTGTCTTTGTGACAAGTATATATTTTTGCAGTCAGTGCCTCAGACTCAGCACAGAGCAATAATACTCTATTTTACGAGTGCCTTGAAAAGCCCTGTGGATCATAAACCCCCGTGTTATTACACTTCCCATACATCAAATTTGTTATTAATAGTTGTAAACGTCGCGGTGATTTCCCCATTGCCGGGCTGCGTGCCAGCATAGGGACTTTGCACTGGTCGTGTAAAGCAGCCGGTACTATATCATTGATCTAAGTGGTACATGTAATGTTTATTACAATAAGGACGTATTGATGCATAAAATTAAACAACAGGTACACCTACAATCAGGCCACTACCGTCGCAATATCTATTAGGACAGCAAAAAAGACTCAAGGGCAGTAAACGAATGTTTATAATCATATAGGTCAACGAAACATACTCAAAGTCTGTTATACGACAGGAATAGTGGCTGTACATCATTAAGGACATCATGATCAATACAACAAAATCAGAATAAACTAAAACGATTTTGATTATGATTAATTGTAATGAATGTCTTTCTATCCTACACTACTTAGGATTATATCCTCCAATCCCGTAGGTTTCCTCACATCATTTCTATTCATATGTTAGAACCAGAAAATTATAATAATATTATTTGTGTTTTGCTGTTGACGTAAAGGCTGCTGCTCATTTTTTTATCATTTTCTTTATTATCGGAAATCTGCATTGTGTATCTTATACTTTTGACTTGCAGGCGTACGTATGTTAGACGGTCGGGTAACAGACAGCCTTGAGGGCCAGGCAATCGCCTTCAACCATAAGTACATAGACATATACAGTGCGTCATGGGGGCCAAACGATGACGGTGCAACAGTGGAAGGACCGGGCAAAATGGCACAGAGAGCGTTTGAGCTTGGAATCAAAGAGGTCAATATATAAAGGAATGTTTTACTTAACAAATAATCAACGTTTATAAGTGTATAATGCTCGAATATATAACAAGGATGAGAACAAGTTAGCTGGCGAATGCCGTAAGTAACTTAGATAAGAACATTATTCAAATTAAACTGTTCTTTTGCCGGTGAAAATTTGTCACGTGAGCGTCGTTTTCAGTCGGCAATTGTTTTTCTCAATTTGACAGATGATAAAAGCACTAAATGTTGGCGTCAAGCTTTATACAGTTTGTTTATTTCAATCAATCGAAAGCATCAAATTAATACGAAACCGACTGACAAATATTATTTCAAATCATCTACACGGCGAACTAGGTTGGACACGATTTAAGTAGAAATATATAAACATTTGTGTTTGTTCCCTGGTAAATTTTCGAACAGTGTCGTTACATCACAGATATTGGAGAATTGATAATAACAAACAGATGTTCTTCATCATTGATGTTACCAAACCTGCCCCTGTCAATCAGCTTCATTGTTATAGTTAAACGTACGGGCCTGTCAACCTGATGTAGAACACACAATGTCCATTTGATTGACCAAAGTGCTGAATTATGAAACGCGGAAGGTTCAAGATGTTGGCGTCTTCCATTACGGGCATTCCTTTGCGATGCAGTATTGTTTTGATGTTTAAATTTTATTATTTTATAAAAAAAAAGTAGGCCCACTATATTAGCGCTAAAAATCAATTGAAACCGTTCGATACCTAAAACATTATGGTAGCAAAATGAACTGTAAACAGTGATTGCTGTCTATCAATCGGACTCCTCATCTCAAATTAATTCCTAAGTGGCCTGACCCGTCGTTTCTGATACAAGAAAGTCATACCTAAATAGCATGGTGGTAGAAATAATAGTTCCTCAACTCGGGACCGAAGTGTATCATGTTGACTGAACTCGAGTAACATAATTCTCCAGATGTAATATGTAAAGCTCGCAGATATAAGTTTGTTTTTCGTTTTATTAAAAAGAATACTTCAATCTAGTATGAAAATGAAAAACAAAAGTCACTCTTTGCAGAAACTTTACACAAAGCTCTAATATTAAAAAACAGTTTGCTTCTTAATATAAAAGATCATTATTTCAGAGATGACAATTCGAATTATTACGAATGATATCATTATAATTATGTACAAATATACTTGACAGGGCCGTAACGGGAAAGGTGTCATCTATGTTTGGGCTTCCGGTAATGGCGGTCGTTTAGGTGACAACTGTGACTGTGACGGTTACACAGGAAGTATATACTCACTGTCCATCAGCAGCGCATCCCAGCACCAGATGACCCCGTGGTACGCCGAGAAATGTGCCTCCACCATGGCAACGACCTACTCCAGTGGGGAGTATGGTGATGACCGGGTGGTATGTTCTATTATGATATCATTTCAAAGTACGTTAATATTGTTTTACAATGTTTTGATTCATTCGTATATAAACCTTATTTGTTTAATATAATAACTGTAATACCTTACACTCTTCACTTATTGTAACTGTTGCTTTGAACTTAGTAAAGATTACGTACTTCATGTATTCAAACTTAAATATCAGACGTACTTTGCACATTATAAATACTCTTGCTTATTGCATACTTGTCTGTATATATGTCACATATACATGTGTTATATACACTGGTATGCTTGTTACAAGCAGTAAAGTGAAACTGTATATTTTGTCAGGCCAGTGCTGATCTACACGGAGGCTGTACAGTCCAACATACCGGTACATCAGCCGCAGCTCCTTTGGCAGCCGGAATATTCGCTCTGGTCCTGGAAGCGAAGTATGACTGGATTTATTAAAAAACTTATTTACTATCTGTATGAGAACGGAACTTCTACAGATTGGAACGAAGTGAATAGAAAGTGCTTTTCTGACCGGTTAATACCGTGATATATTCACGCTGTGACAATGCATGCACCTCTTTTCCACTTTCGATATAGCAGTTTTATACACATGTAGTTGACAGAAATTGATATCTCTATGGCAAATGTGTAATAAAAATGAATATTATCGCAACGCTCTTTCATTACTTAAGCTAACAACATTTACTCAAAAATAAATATTTTGTGTATAGTTTGTGTCCATGTCTCCTCTTATGTGATTGTAAAATCAGTACATATTTAAAGTATGTTTAATTATCACAACCCAATAACAAATTAGTAAACTTCAGCCCAGATTTGACATGGAGAGACATGCAGCATCTGGTGGCATGGACATCCGAGTACTCTTCCCTTCGGAACAATTCAGGGTGGAAGCAAAATGGTGCCGGATACTGGGTTAACAATGCTTTCGGTTTCGGGCTCTTGAACGCCGCTAGCTTGGTACAGGAGGCTCACCCACAAACCTGGAAAACAGTTCCAGAGAAATACGTCTGTACAGTACACTCGAATTCAAATTCCAATTTACCACAGTGAGTCAAAGTAGTATTCTGATTAATTTTCTTATCTTAAATTAATTGTTGTAATATTTGTTCCATTATACGAACAGGCACGAATGGTATGATACATGTGTTGATTTAAAGCATCAACCACAAGCCCAGATTAACTTGATAGGCCATTTGCTTTTTGCGGTTTCCTTAACATGACCAATACGAAAATAGCTTTCGCTATGTTACGAATCTGATACATTTATGCTAAATATGATTAACGTGAGTCTATTACATTTCTAATAAATAGAATCGATGATTATAAATGGTATTCAGCGAAATAAAAGCAGCAAAAACGTGACTATTTCAGTAAAGGAATTATTTTTTTCAAAAGTTTGACTCTTTGTATCATATAATCTGGTAACCACATGCTATACATTAATATTGACTACAAAGTGTATACAAGACACCCTTAAATGGCATCAATATACTGTTTTCAATAAATGATGCTGATAAATCACATGCTGAATTCCAGGCGACTTCAGAGCGGCTACAAATTGGACATCGACTTGACCAGCAGTGGTTGCCAAGGACAGGACAATGAAATACGATATCTGGAGCATGTCCAGATGCAGATAAATATGGACTATTCCAAGAGAGGAGCTCTGCACATAAGCCTGACATCGCCAAGCGGTAGTTGTCACAATTATTCTATAACTTAAAACTTAGAGATATGTGTTTACTCGGTCGTATAAGCCATTACCGGGTGAGCAATTTGCTAGTAGGTGGGCAACAAAAACACTCATCATGGATGCGTTTGTAACATGGCACTTTCATCATCTCTGTTGGTATCACTAAAGCAATCTTATTCTATCAAAGTTGTATGCGTAAAGCCAAAGGAATGAAAAAGAAAATAAATTATGTTGAAAATAGAAAACAAATGCGTTTAAATTCAGTTGAAAATTAAACGTTTGTTTGTTAAAAATAGAGAAATAAGTACATTTGTACACACACATCAGTATAAAGATCACAGCTCGAATAAACACCTTTGGTTGTCTTTTGCCTGAATATATGTTGGCGATTAATTGAGAGATGTATTGCGAGCTGTTTTTCACAACAGCGAAATAGAGAGAGATAAATACTTTAAAACGCTAATGCATGACTGTGCCCTATGGCGTACATATAGAGTACCCCATAAAGGATAGTTAGACACTTACAGTAAAGTATTAGTAGTATTGCACAACATTCGTATAGTGGCTTCAAAAGCGCGTACTTAGGCTTAAGTCCAAACTATCTTTTAAAGAAGCAATTGGTCATAGTATACTTGATTATGCCAATAATATTTCCTTTCGACCACTACCATGGCTGTAATTCAAAAGGTGAATCTAATAATTATCTGGAATCGTAGCAACCTTTTGCCTGCTATCAAACTGTCTGTAGGTTTATGTGTTGTTATGGTTGCATTATACTGTTACTGAAGTCTACCTACAAGACATTTATACATTCCTATAATAAATGACACACGTTGTGTCCGTTTGAGGCTCGTCCAGTTTGCACTCTTACAGAAACGAAATGCCATAATAGCTAAAAACAAGGTTAGGTTCGTAAGTGTAATCTGGTTTATGATAAATCTGAAAACTAATCGATGACTTAATTGATTTATTCAAGTGCGACTAAACGGGAGAACAAATGAAGGCCAACTATACAGACAGAGAAAAATATAAAGCCGAGTTATATAATTAACATGTAGTATGTATACATTTCTAGGTAATGAGACGATGCTGCTGTCTGAAAGATCGATGGATGGGTCGACTGCGGGTTTCCAGAACTGGACATTTATGTCTGTGCAGTCCTGGGGAGAGAACCCTACCGGACAATGGAAATTGACTATCAAGGATAAGGTACCTGAACTGTATATCCGTTGATTAGATAAAAATTGAAGTTACAATATGTGGTGTTAATAAGGGCACTTCAAAAGAAGTTTAACTGTTAACGGTTAACGGTTAACAAAGATAACCCAACAGGACATGAACTCCTCACGTGATGACTGAAATGTTGTTTACGTTCACAGTTTCGATCACTTTTTTATCATGAACGCATTGCATTGCGTTATGTACATGTCTTTGTCTTATCCATTCAATCTTTTATCAAAATATAACGCTCATCACATAACGCAGAACTGAACCCGTTTACTGTTGACAGAAGAGAGGTGATAATCACGGGGTAGTTAAAGGCGTTACCCTCATCCTTCATGGTACCAAGGAGATGCCCGATCATAGACAGAGGGCTGGCGGTCGGCGAATTTACGACGTAGACTTTCAACCAGCTCACAATGTCAGACCATTGGCACACGACAGAACACTTGTGCACTACAAACCACACTTGCAAACACACGTGAGTAGCAAAATATGGCGATGACGGTATTGTCATATATCGACCGATAGATTTTAAAGTCAAACCAGAGGTCACAGTCACCACCTGCTACTAATCTGCACTCCACAGTCCCAAGATGAACTTGTATACCAAATATACTTACTCTAGGTGAAATAATACGAGATATGCTCAGGACAAAGTTCTCCAATGACTGGAGTCAGAGGTAAAAGAATACACCAAAAAGTCATTCTGTTCCCACACTATACTCCGTCGTCATATGATCCTGCAGAAATATGACTAATGTTAGTGAAATTTATGTATAGAAGAGTTGCTGCAGACAAACTTCTAAAAGGTTAAGATCAAAGATCAAAGCATAGGACTTTTGTATTTACATTAAATGGCAGAAGTCGACGTCAATTATTCAGCAACCTCGTTTGTCCCGCATGATATTTAGGACAGATATCATGAGTTTATGTTTCTATCCATTTAAGCTTGGGTTTGCGTTTCGTGAAAGAAGATGAAGAGAGTATTCTCCCAATAAAGGATGACGAATTTTACTCCAAAAGAAAACAATAGATTCCAATTCCAAATCCATTTCTCCCCGTGTATGCACTTTCCCTGTTTAATAAACGAAGTTGTTTACCTAAACTACATTATTGATACTGATTATGTTTGCCATATCAATCAAACTATATGTTATGCACGTGACACTATGGTGTCCAGTTATCGTTATAATGTCATTGTGTGCTTGCAGAAGTCATTCTCTCAACCTGGCCAGACACCGTTCCCGAGCGTCAGTACGTACCAGAGGCAATACCAGGATCTGATGAATAAATTTCGCTTGCTGAGTTGGAAACTAGGCAACTAGGTGTCAATAAAAATATATATTTTCCATTGGTAGTTCTCATTTCTGTCTCGTAAATAATCTATTGTTCCTAGCGGTATTAAAGAAAAACATATTACGAGTATTCACGAAAGGGGAATCCTTCTGAATAAATGAAGAAAATTCACGTGCAATTCTGTAATTGGCTATGTTTCTTAATCGATAATGGCGAAGGTGTTAATGCCTAAAGGGGTTATTTGATTATCATGGTCATATTGATGTGGGATTGAGCTCAATGTCACGATCTTTGCTTCTGTTTATCAATCATTTTAGTTCGAATCGTGGAACATTATCGGCTAAAAGGTGTTATGACGGACTTGTTTGATTTTAATCAGTGTTATCGTCGTCTTGAGGGTCTAAAAGCTAACGAACCTAACACAAATTTGACATTGGACACAATCAATGCTCGGAACTAATCGCATTTTTTTATGACGAAGTGGACACAGAATGCGTGTTACCTAATCGATAGTTAATACAGTATGCACTACAAATCACGAGTATTATCTAATCGTATCAGTTAACAGAGATTGTTTGCAGAAGATTGATGTTGAGTTTTACTCAAGCAAAATGTAAAATGTAACATATAACCGGACTATGAAAAACAAATCTTTTTGGGCCAGAATTTCATTTATTAATAAATAAATGTTTTTTTTAGGAGCAGAATTACAATAATCAAAAAACATTGTTCTTGTATTTCGTCTTTCAGCACAAATGAGCATAACTTCCTTCTTGTGTTTATGAACGTATTTAGACGTTATTTGTAGCTTGCACATGTATGTGAAGATAAATATCCAAGAAAACCATTTTATAGAGCAATGATACAGTCGTGATAATTACAGGGGTGACGTGTTAAGATAACAAAGAAAGTGGTGTACTATCTGTGACACAAACATACACACATAAACGAGTGTGGTGCCATTTGAACAAGTATATAATGTCTTATGACAGGGATACACGTACACGATTTTGGATACCATAACCACTGCAAAGATAATATATTTTGGCTGTAAAGTGAATGTTGTAAATAAAGATACGAATGTTTCCCTCTACGAAGCGACAGAAACTATGAATTACCCTACCGCTCAGCCTATACACAAAAATGGCTAATGTTTTACTAATGGCTTCGGGTACATAAATATATGGACAATGTATTTAATGTTTATTTGATTTAATATCACCAATTGAAGATCTCTACACAAAAACGTACACGTACCAGAAACCGGTAAAGCCATGGTCCCAACACGCCGTAGTTGCAAGTGCGTGCTGTCTACTTGCAAAAACGTTGGCAAAATTTGGGGATCCGTACGTTTGGAGTACTGACTCAGTACGGATTTGGGAGCACGCAGGCACCCACTCCGTGAGTCTTTTAAATTTTCCCCCACGGTCACTTGCTCTACGGACGGCGCATTTAGCACGTGCGTGCTGTGCACGTGATAAGTGCGCGGTCTGTGCTTACCCTGCACTTCCCCAGTTCTTCTGTCCAATGAGAACGCAGAACTGACGTGGACCGTACCGAGTAAGCACGTGCTCCGCACTTACAACACACGTTGTGCGCACTGATTTCTGCAGTATATATAAAAGCCGAGCTGGAGAACCTCGGAGGGTCGTTCTATATATCCCCCCCCCCCCCCCCCCCCCCCCCCCCCCCCCCCCCCCCCCCCCCCCCCCCCCCCCCCCCCCCCCCCCCCCCCCCCCCCCCCCCCCCCCCCCCCCCCNCAATCGCACGGAGATCGTACGTTGTAAGCACGTACAACTCACTTACCACGTGTGCAACGTACGATGCACGCAACCGCTCACGGCCCGGAGGCGTGGCGTGTGGGCCACGTACTTACACCTTGCGCAACCGTGCGAGTGACGTACTCTCTCCCTGCTCTTGCCACTCCCTCCCCACGTTGTCAGAAAAAAACGTGGCGGCCGCGACCTCCCCCAAAAACGTACGGACTAAAAACACGCACGGTGGGTTGTGACCGGGCCTGAAGTGTTCCCTGCTGCACTATGTGGCGTTTGTCTTGAAATGATGTAAAATATTATTTTACCTTATAGCGTATTATGTGAAATTATGCAAATATCAAATCATTTAGGATTTTTGTCATTTTGTTTAGATGAAGTCTTTTTTAATCGGTCAAACATTCATCTTCAATACCGTTATTTAAATAAATGCCATTAACTAATATTTAAAAGAACAAACAAGAACAAAACACACACACACACACAAAATAAAAAAAAATACTAAAAAAACAAAAGTATCTCTGTTTAGTTATAATGAAGAGTTTTGTATAGACACTTGTCGAAGATAAACTAATTCCAATCTGCTGTGTGCGAATACTGCTTTCATACACAGACATCCAAATATGTGTGTAACATCAAATGTTTTGTTAACAATTCCTTAATATTTATAAGCCTCTGACAACCCGTCAATGCATATCAATATATGCTATACAGTACAATTCATACAGTGTAAATGGCAATTGAAGATAAAGTACAACATCTAGTCTCAATTCTGTTGCAAACACATTGAGTTTCGCCATCTTCAAAATGGAAAAAAAACAAGCACCTTAGACAAAAAATACAAGGGGGGGGGATGTTCATGTGGGGAAAATTTTAGGAAAATGGTGAAAATACATGATTTTTAAAGAAAATTCTCAGGGTGGGTGGGTTTCCTGTCGCCTAAGAAAAACTCTGGATCCGCCACTGTATGCTATCTTTTATATGAACAGCTACTCTATCATTACATTGATAGCTATAAGCTATCTACCTTATTCACAATCATCCTTAAATATCGGCATTGTACACCCAATAAGGACGGTGCCACTTTGAAATGCTTCCACATTCAGATGTCATACCCTGGACACGGTATAATGAGACCCACCCTCTAAACAATGAAATCTCCTGACAACGGGCTAACTATATGTATATGACGAGAGGGATGTCTAACAATGGGCATATGTACACTTTTAGAAATTGATCCTACTTGGACACCAACAGGAATCATCTAGGAATCGGAGTGTAGTATAAGGAACAATTACAGGCAGATGTGACCAACACAAGTTTAAATGTTATCCTTTTTGTTGTTGTTTTATACATATTTGTTTTTGTTCGATGTACCATTCGAACTTTCAACACTGTCGTTTTATTCAATACAAAAACATATATATATATAAAGCTTGGGATCACTTATGGATTAGCAGACGTTCTGGTTGGCATATGCGTCGGCTACATCACAGCTTATTCGATGCCCCTGGACTGTAGACATGGCTAAAACAATGACGCCATAAACACCTGTATCAGGACAAATGAAATGTATTTGAGGCAAAATGCAATGATGGTCCAGAAAGTGTGACTTTCACATCAAATTTTCAGAATGTGTTTTTGTGTTATATTAAGCATTTCGAGAAGGTTATGACATCAACGTTTAAAAAAAGCGTGGAGAACATAATGATTTTTATCGTTTATCAGTATTTTATACTCAAAATTGCAAATATCACACTGTTCCGTTGGTAACATTTATATGCTATATATTATAACATTTATATGCTATATATCATAACGTTTATATGCTATATATTATAACGTTTATATGCTATATATTATAACATTTATATGCTAAACATTATAACGTTTATATGCTATATATCATAACATTTATATGCTATATATCATAACGTTTATATGCTATATATTATAACGTTTATATGCTATATATTATAACGTCTATATGCTATACATTATAACGTTTATATGCTATACATTATAACGTTTATATGCTATACATTATAACGTTTATATGCTATATATTATAACGTTTATATGCTGAAATTGTATTTCTTTGTCAGGTAATTTGTTCAGTAATTAAGTTAGTATTCTAGTTTAAAAAATTATAAAGTTTTCTCAAAAATGGAGATCTTGGTAACTTGTTATTTTAAGCGAAAAAAGTAAGGTTCAATAAGGACACTGTTACCCACGAAACTACTACGTAAAAAATCCAAATATCTGATATCACATATTAACATAGTTCGTAGTTATTTAAGTTAATTGCATTACTGTTATATACCTAAGAGTTAGGGCCATTTGATACATGTTGGTATATGTTGCGTATGTAACACGGACACCAAGTCAAACGTTACGAACAAAACACAACTTATATTCCGGTTACCTCAAATAGATTTCAGTTGCAATTGCATTGGGGTGGCTAAGATTATAAATTAACCCTCACAGCCAGTATACATAAAAGGGTGAACTTAATTCGATGAGGGTATGGACCATGTTTAATATTCGTTTTAATACAGGAGAAAGTGTGTGTCCTGTTACAGTCGTAACACAACTGTAAATGTACAGGTAGCCAGTTTTATGTTGTGCTTAAAAAGCATGCCAAAGGTTTCATCAATTCACGAAAAAAAGGAACTTTAATAGATTTTGATCGCAAATCATGGTGTTCACCATGCGGTAAGATAACATTCGTTCGTTGCTGAAAGACACCATGTCTAAAATGTCGTCATTGTTACGACCATCACAAATTTATCGCCAGGAGACATCAAAGCGAATGTCATTTAAAATATCAATGCACACGAACAGTGTCATACACGTTCTTGCTATTCGTGTTAAATAGCATTAACTGTTCACTTCAAATCACAAGAAAATTGACCTAAAAGTTTAAATGTATATCCCACCACGTACGTAACATATCACCACTGGACAGGACACGGTTGGTATCCAAGCCAGTACGCAAAATATCAAACAAGTGCGAATGGTTTACAACCCGCCAGAGGAAAATACCCACTGCAGGCGCCATCTAGGTGGATGTATATTAAGATTTTAGGTTTCCCAGTTACTTTTCTTGAGACAGGTTTTTTCGTAACGATTTGGACGACAATCAGGATGCCGATGTCCATTGCATGATTGCGTTAAGTTTAACAAAAGAGCTATGGCGAGTTGCTATGCCTCAACCGGCTGTGACCAGTGCAGTGACAAACTCATCAATTGGCCGACCTCGGTCGCCAGGAGCAGGTCGGCC